GAGACAGAGGGAAAGGTAAGACAGGGAAATACCTTCTGCACTTTTTCACCATCAGTATTTTTTTCTGCTATACACCTCTAAGTATTAGCTGTTACAGTGGTCTTGCCCATATGAATTTAACCAAGGGTTTTCTGAAAATTTAGCTGGTGTATGATTGGGCTGAGAAGAGCTTATTTCAGGATACCAGAATTAGGGGATCAAAACGGTCTACTCTTTCCAGTACATTTTCCATCCAAATGACTCCTTGACTTGAATGACAGTATTGGAACTTGCTGAGAATTACAAAATATCATTCTTGTTTGATGGATGGGATTAGAGCAGATAGAACAAAAAGGCATTAAATTTCCTCCTAAGGGTTCCTTTTGTGAGTATCAGCTTATTTGGCTGGTTTCTTTATGTTTTTGCTCTGTGTTTTCCCCATAGACTTTCCTGTACACGCTGCCTGTCAATCCCATTTTTATTGTTTTCATTTTTAATACTCCAATTGGTACATCTTAGAGAATAGACAAGCCATGCTAAAATATAATGCATGGTTTTCTCTGTCAGTATAAGAGACAGAACTGGGTTTAGATCAGAAGTTGAACCACTGCATGGCCTATCAAGACTGTCTGTCGAGTGGTCCTGGGTGCCTGTCATGTCATCGTGTACCCTGGACAAGTCTTTCTGTTCACTGGCTCATAAATAGGAACTGTCAAAGATAAGACCTAAAGGGGATTATTAAATGCAAACAGTGTTTTTCACAGAAAAGAACTATTTTGGCAAGTTATAAATGCCCTCCCTATAACAGAGCAGACAGTAGTTAAGCTTCCACTGAGTATTTGCCATGATGTAATGCTAAACTTTTTTCTAGATTCTCTCACCTCTCAACTTCCTGCCTACTTCAGAGACTTATCCTCTACACTCCCCACTAGGCACTGGCCATCCTGTTTTATAATCACTATTCAATCCCCAGGCTTCTTTGCGTTGGCTCATTCATTCATTTATTCATTCATCAACATATAATTTAAGTATCTCCTATATTCTGGACTATATCCTAGGCAACGAGGTCACTATGGGCTGAACTCAGTTGAGCTGACATTCTAAAGGGAGAAATGCATAATAAAAACATTAATTTCTCAACTTTGGCTGCCATTTAAAAAGAAATGCATTGGCTGAGCTGGGCATCTATGGATCACACCTATAATCCTAGCTATTCAGGTGGCTGAGATCTGAAGATTGTTGGTTCCAAGCCAGCCTGAGCAGGAAAGACTGAAACTCTCATCTCCAACAACAGAAGTGAAACTATGGCTTAAGTGGTAGAGTTTCAACCTTGAGCAATAAAAAGCTAGGGAAAGCATCCAGGCTTTGATTTTAAGCCCCATTACTGGTACAAAAACAAACAAGCAAAAAATGCACTGACTGAGTGGCCTAAACAGCAAAAAGTGATCTCCTCACAAATTATTAAGGCCAAAAGTTCAAGATCACAGATGTAATTTAGAAATCAGGGCCCACTCCTACTGATCAGGTTTTGATAGGAGCTCTCTTCCTGATTTATGAACAGCTACCAACTTGGAGCTTCAAATCGCCCATTTTTTCACGTGGGTATGTGGGTGACAGTGTGAGCGTTTGGTCTTTAGTATCTATGTTATATTAAAACACTAGTTCTACACACTCAAGGCCCATCCTATGACCTCATTTAACTAATTGCTTCCATTGAGGCCCCATCTCTAAGTTCAGCCACACAAGCAATTAAGGTTCTAACATATGAATGGGGGCACACAAACATTTAACCCATTTAAAATATTAAAATACATTTTTAAAAATTGCTACTTCACATAAGGACATAGGAAAAAAATCAGTAAAAAATAAAAGGAGCCAGGCAGCAGTGGTTTATGACTGTAATCCTCGCCATTCACCCAGTGAGATATGAGGACCACAGGCTGAAGTGTGCCTAGCCAGAAAAGTTTGTGAGAATCTTATCTCCAATTAACCAGCAAAAGGATGAAAATGGAGCTATGGCTGAGTGAAAAAGCCAAATGAGAACATGAGTTCAAGCCCCATTACAGTTTTACCAATTCTCTCTCTCTCTCTCTCTCTGCTACACACACACACACACACACACACACACACACACACAGAGCACTAAATCCACAGCAATCATGATATTGACTAACCATACCCTTTCCTAATTACCCCATGGACCTTTGGAATTGACCCTTTTTCCCACCCTCAGACTTCATTTTCCACTAATCTATTTCCTGTCTCTATAGGTTTGCCTTTTCCACATAAGTGTTCTAAGTGGGCAGTCTAGTAGTCTTTTTTCACTTCATATTACATGAGATTTCACGGTGTGCAAAGTACTAATGTGGTTTCCATAGTCGCTGATTCAACCAGCTGTGAGGGGAATATTGAGAAAAATATATCTGTATTGAAAATGTGTAGACTTTCTTCTTGTCACTATTCCTTGAACAAATATAGTAATATAGTAATATTATATAGTAATGCTACATTTATGTAGCATTTGCTTTGTATTAGGTATTATAATTCAGGTAGAGAAGATGCAAAGTATGCAAGATTTGTGTTATATGAATATACGCACTATGTTGCATAAAGAAATAGAGCACACTTGGAACCAATCCTTCATGAAAAGCAAAAGACGATTATATTTCCTTTCTTTTGCCTAATGGTATTCCATGCTTGAAATGTGCCATAGTTTATTAACTCAGTTTAATGAAATTTGGGTTACATCCAGTTTCAGGCAAGTAAAAATAAAGCTTCTATTCAAGTTTACATGAAAGTTTTGGGGTAAACAAAAATTTCCATTTATGGAGTCTTTAATTCCGATTTCCTGAATGGGGAACAGAAAAAATTTCTCTCTTCTTCCTTTATCCTTGCTTTAACTTTTTTGTACCAAAATAAATCTTTGCTAAAACTTCAAAAAATTCCATTTATTTTTGGCTCTGGGGTGGAATTCATGAGTCACATAGTATGTTTATGTTTAACTTTATAAGAAACCATCAAGTTGTTTTCTAGTATGGCTCCACTGTTTTGTATTCCCAATTACAATACTCAATGAGAGTGACCCTTGACCCTTTCTTTCTATTGTTTCAGCACATAAGATTTTTCTCTTTATCTTTCCCTTTCTCTTCCCATTCTCTCTCTCTTCCCCCTCTCCATGGTCCCTCTCTTTCCTTCTTTCCACCTTTTTCCCTCTCCTCTCTTACTTCTCAGTCCCATTCTAGTATATGCACAGCAATGTGTTCTTTTTAGTATATTGTAAAGGTGATGATGTACAGAGGGCTTATCGTTACATGAGCAAGATAATGAGTACATTTCTTTTTAACAGTGTTACCCCCTCCTTCATTTTTCACACTCCTCCTCCAGCAATATATTCTTTCATATTCACAAATATGAATTTAAAGGCCCAGTGGACTTGGATAGTAAGGATATGATGTTAATGAACTGATTTTCCCATCTTATTTTCTTTATAAACCAAAAGTCTGTTGTCTTATAAAATCCTTATCAAGAGCTACATAAAGTATACTTAGAAGTCCACAGTTCTTGTCTGAATCCTGACAACATTAAATTTTAGTTCTCTTACACTCAATAGAAGTCTCATGAAATACTTCATTTTAAAGTAACTTATGAAATTCTCCATTGAAAATATCAGTGACTCCTCAGGCTTAGGATTTTATCTTTTTAAGTTAAAACGGTGAACATTTGACTTCTGCAAATGATTCCTTTACCTAACATGCATTTTTTCCCATCTGTTTTAAATCCATCACAAGATTTTTACTGGGTTTTTTATTCTGTGGCTGGCCATTCTAAGCCTTCACTTGCGATGAGATAAGAAAGAAGAAATATGGTTTAAAAACTCTTTATCAATATCATTATTATTATTTTAAAGTAACTGAACAAAGGAGTTTCAATTCAACATGCCTTTTGATCCATGTTATCCATTCATCATTCTCCCCCATCTGTACAAGCTCCATTCATCCCCCCAAGTCCCCCAATTCCATCTGCACTTATGAATATTGAGTACTATGACTGTATTTACCCAACCTTCTCTCCATTTATCTGCTCATCCCAAGGCCTGAGAACTAAAATGACTTAAAATTATGCTGAAAATTTCAATGTTAAGGAATTTGTACACTCTAATATATATCCAGAACAGAGACAGGGATATCATTGACCTTGGTAGCTGAGAGCTACTCTTTACCAGATCTCCAGAAAGTACATCATTTTCAGATTAAAGAATTCTTTGTCTTCTCCATTATCATCTCATAATTACTCAAGTGTGTATCATATAGATCTATTGTCTCTATCAATTTCTTAATTGAATCTAGACACCTAGTCACAAATTTTCCTCTTCTCTCTTTATGGAGAAAATATTCTCTGTAGGCAGTAATGGACTCTAGCAGAAAATATCTAGAACCTCCTAGAAACTGATCCTTATTTTGTGAACAGAGGATCCTGTCTGTGTCTCATCAGATATCAGCTCTTTCATTCATTTACTGCTCTTTCAAAGAGCATTGGAAAGGCACTGTTGCTTTTTAAAAGATGATGAATTAGATTTGAACTCCTGTTGGTGAAAGACACTGTTTTACCAACGTGCCCTAAAAGAGACTTAGTGCAGCAAACTTTGTTAAATGACTTGAAGTCATCATTTGATTCAGATGACTAATATCTCTTAGTTGAATCAGATACTGTCAACCTGTATGCTCCAATTAACAGTTGGTGGAAAATTATGAGTAGAAGTGTGTCTTTTCCAGACAGTTTTTTTTATGTAAGTTTTTGTGAAAATACTGTACAGAGGAGTTACAATCACATGAGCAAGGTAATGAGTTCATTTCTTATCAAGCATTGTTGCCTCCTCCTTTGTTTTCCCCCTACCATCCCTTCCCTCCCATCTCCACAACTACATTCCCCCCACTCCCCAGACTGGTTTGATAGCATTTGGCTAGTGGTTAGGCATGCAGCCGCTTCATGAATCTTCTTTTTTTTTTGTTTTCTGTCTGCAGATTTTATTCTTCACCGTACAGTATTGCAACCAACCGCATGATTCCACAGACATCTATCACGCCATTCATTGCCGCCTCCCCTGTCTCCACATACCAGGTACGTCCGACTCACCTGTACAGGAGAAATCCTTTTTGCCAGTAAGACCCTATCGAGAGGCAGAAAAGACACCATAGAATTGAAAAACGAACTGTCCTTATACACTTTAGGTGCATCTTAGTGGAATAATGTTTGTTAGGAACTAGCCCTTGCTTTCCAGAGACTGCTTGTTTCCTGCTGAGTTTTTATGATGATACTACTTTTCAGCCAGTGTTAGTACATATGCCATTGGGAAGTTTGTTGTCTCTTATTTTGGGTTGAGCACATTCCATATCAATTCTTCTCTAAAAGCCAATCTCTAGTAATTCCATGACTAAATCCAGAATATTTCATCATTGTCATCTCATTTTGTCACTATTCTCCTTGTGAAGCTACATATATACATGTAAATCCTTACCTTCTCTCAAAGAGGAAGGCTAATAGAGCTATAAAAAGCCATTCCTGCTCCCTGCTCTGATTTCTACCTCAGTCCCAGAGCATTAGAGGAGACCTTAAGATATCCATATGCTGAAATTCAGGGAAACCTAGGAATCATTGTGTGTCCTAACCCAAGATATTATTGCACAGGTAGATTGGAAAAGTCACATTTCTCCCTCAAAAAGTCTCCGTATCTTTTTCCTTTGGAGTTACCCAATATGTGATATCACTCATTTCTCTCTACCTAGTATTATACTTCAAATAATTCTTCTGATTTGAATTAGAAAATGCCTATAAATGATATCTAATGTCTTCTAAAAATCTGGAGAGATTGTATGTTTGTGCCTGCATGTGTTTCTATATATTTTGCCAAAGGTGAAGGTAGACAATTTTGCAGTGGTAAAATTATTTCATTGCTGACTGCTAGCAATTCAGTGAAGTTTCATGTTATTTAGCCACTATATACTTTATTTCAGGATGACCCATCTGTTATGGCATCAAACTTGAGACACTATGCATTTTTCCTTAAGTACTGCTTCCTCCTGGAGCGGATCTTTTCATTGTTTTTCTGTACTCAGCCTCTTGCAATATGTCCATGGGCAAATTGAATGGAAATTTATTAGAATTGCATTAAAGGGCCCCTAGGATGGTTGATTGATGAACGGATTTTTCTTGGGACCCATGAGTCTACATGCAGGTGCTGCTCAGTTTTTGTTCTTCCAGCAAGCCTGCCTGCTTATATACAATTGTGTGTGTGTGTGTGTGTGTGTGTGTGTGTGTGTGTGTGTGTGTGTTTTCATTTTTTCCATTCTTGGCCTTTGCTTCAGCCAAGACCACCCATTGAGCACAGTGTGGAACATTTTTGTGATTTAAATAAAATATCCACAGAAAAGTGATTTTATTTGGGAGGGCTCATAAGTGGAAATTAGCTCTAGATATCTTCTTTCAAACAAGAGATTACAGCATTTTCCCATGGTGTTGATTCTTGTTTTGAACCACTATTTATTTTTTAACCCAAAGTATACTGATAGTTCTGTTGGTATGAGTATACAGAAAAACAAAATCTCCTGGCTTTCCTGTGATGATCACTTTACAGATGTCAACTTCTTCATTGGGTTCACATGTAATACATTTAAGAAGAGTCACCTGGCTATAGTATGCATTTTTATTCATTGAATCAATTGCTATGAGAAGAAAATAAATCTTAGCAGTCAGCTCTTGCTTTCTTCATTACTTGCTGGGGCTTTCCAGAGAAGTTTATCTGCAGATAGTCTCTGAAGGCTGTTAAGTCTATAGTCTTCAACACCAACTTCAAAATATGCTTCCAAAGACAGCCTGGTTTAAATGGACACTGAAGCCAGCCAGTTGGAAGATAGGAAGATGCTTTATTGTTCTTCATGTTTTAGAAACAAAATTAATCAAGGCCAAAAAGTCCCTCTTTGTCCTTGGTTTTGAGCACAAATTAGCTGTTGAGTCAGATGGACTCCACTTTCTCATAACCTAGTGTGACTCCACTGAACACAAGAACCAGGTTCCCTCTGTGATTGCTGTGTGCTAATAAACGCTGTTTGATGCATAGGTCCAGAGTACTTCATGGACGCCTCATCCGTCATACGTTATGCAACCAACAGTAAGTGTTCTCAGTCACCTGAGGCTCAAATGTTTCTATTATCCAAGTGCAAGCGTTTGTAATGCGTAGAAGTTTGGGGGTAAAAGCTTTTGTTATATTCTGTAGCTCTTTCAGGCAGCCAAATTCTCCAGATTAAAAGCTGCTCCTGGAAATCTACAAAAGCATACAAATAGATAGCTAGAGACTTTCTGCTAGAGAGAGGGAATAGAGATTTGTTATGAAAGAGGAATTTCTGCTTCATACCGGAGTCAGAACTCTGGACAATCAAATGCGTTATACAAGTCTTGCTGTTTTCTTTCTCTTTTTGATAGGCTTTCCTTGCTTCAGATCCAGTTTTGAGTATCATGGCCAAGTGAATTCTTGAAGCAAAGTGTATGAAATGTGAAGGTAGTTGCGTACTAACAGATGATGATATAGATCGATAGATCGATATATACATAGACAGATAAGAGAGATGCATAGATGTTTATTTCATTCAAATTCTTTTCGACTTTCCCTTCCCATTTGTGCCTTATCATATCAATCTGAAGTGCAAACTATCACATGTTATATTAGAATCTAAAGTGAAGACTAAGGGTCCCTTTTATCTTGTCTTTCAGAGTTTTTTATAGAAGATATAATTCCAATAGCAACATATACATAAATGTGTGAGGCAGAGACAAAAGCAGTAGTCTGGAAGCTGTGTGCTAGTCTATGGATAGCTTCATCAGTGGCTTCGTTTCCTTTTCTGTCACTATTGTTAGTTGCTTTCTTTCTTTCATTCTTCCTTTTTCCTTCCTTCCTTCCTTTTCCCTCTCTCCCTTCTTTTCTTTTCTTTGCCTTTCCATTGTTCCCTTTCCTTCCCTTCCCTTCCCTTACTTTTCCTTCCCTTCCTTCCCTTGTCTTCCCTTCCCTGTCCTTACCTTTTCCTTTTTCCTTCCCTTCTCTTCTCTTCCCTTCCCCTTCTTCCCTTCTCCTTTTCTTCCCTTCTTCTTTCTGCCACCTGCAATTGATCTCAGGGCCTCCCATAGGTAAGGTCTCTTGTTCTTGAGCCATTTCCCAAGCTATTTTGTTTTAGTATTTTGTTTCTGAGAGCAAATCTGTAAGTTCACCCAGGCTGGCTGCAAATTCCTGGTCCTCCTACCTTTACTGACTGAGTAACCAAGATTCTAAGCATGCATTCTCCCACTATATTTAACAGTGCTTTGTGGCAGAACAAGAGCGTGTGTAAAACAGTATGCATAGCTGGTATATAATATGAAAAATATGACACACTATACCTAATGTTTACCATGATCCTGATTTTGGAATGTGTTAATTATGCCAAGAACATTATGACATTTTAATCCTTCAGAGACTAAATTTAAATAAAGCAGTATATAGTAAAAATAAGGAAATAAATTTGCATGCATCCATTTTCTGGTCTCAGAGAATGAGAAAATGTATTTTACAAACTTGAGCTTTGTCCATTTCACTTTTAAAAAATACCCAACTTTCTACATTGCTCCTAACATTTCAAAGATTGAGCTTTTATGTAAAGAGTACAACTATGCAGTGTACGTAGCTCAACAAAACTTTGGACCGTATTTTTCAAATCCCCATGTTTACTATTATTTATATACCCTGGGACTTCCTGAGTTCATCTGGTCTATGCACTGTAAATTATAACAATGTGCAGTAAATCCAAGCTATACTCTTCCAAGCCAGGAGGTAAAATTCAACATATTCTGCCAAACCATATGTAGCATAGCACAGACCAAGCCAACATAGGAAGAGTAGAGACATTCCGCCAAGGTCTAGAGAAGAGATTATCTAGAATAAACCAATCACTTTCTAAAAAATAATGTGTTCATTGATAGAACAATAGTATTGCCTGAGGCCAAGAAATAATGGCTCATGCCTGTTCTGAAGGTTGAGATCTGAGACTCATGGTTGGAAACCAGCCTAGGCCAGACAGTATGGAGGACTCTTATCTCCAGTTAACCACTAAGAAGCCAGAAATGGAGCAATCTGTTGCTTAAGTGATAGGGTGCTAGCCTTGAGTGAAAAAGCTAAGGGAATGAACCCAGACCCTGAGTTTAAGCCTCAGTCCTCACAGGAAGGTGAGGCATCCATTGTTGCCAAAAGGAATGCACATTTTGCCAGATGTTGAAATATAAAGTTCTCAGTACTTGAGCGTCAAAGCAAAGGGAAGATAGGTATATAGGTCTTTAAAAGTTGTTATTTCTGTGGCCACTGAGGGTATTAGCAAAGGCTTCAAGATACCTTGTCTTCATCCCAACCCAGCTTCAACCTCATGGTTGTATGGATGATTCTATTTTCCTAGCAATAAGTGTGTGTGTGTGTGTGTGTGTGTGTGTGTGTGTGTGTGTGTGTGTTTATTTGTCTCCTTGGATTTTGTTTTATGCTACATTTGCTAGTGGGTAGCTTCTACTTCTCTTGACTAGACGGTCAATCATGTTTGGGTTTCGGCCACTAAATTTGAATTGCAATGTCTATGTCTGGCACAGATTTCTACATGAAAGAGTGCTGGGCCACCTATCAAATTTCTTAAGCTTGGAACAATGAGCTGGACAGTGTCATAGAAACATAGAATTTACATCACCAATCTTTGCCCTGGAACAACTTGCTGGTTGTCTATGTTACAAAAATAACTTCACTCAGCTGGCCTTTATTTCATCATCATTGTAGAGTTTAAACTGACCACTCCGTGCTACTAAAATATAAAAATACAGAAGGAATCTAAAGCTACAAAACAAAATAACTTGGATCTGTGAATAGTGAGCTAAAGTGTTGATGTTAAAAGCCTGGATTCTTGCTTGGCTCATAAAGACTCAGAAAACCATTATAGTTTATTAGTTAATGGACTTCAACTTTCTGAGCTACAATTTTCTCCCTGGTCATATGGACATAATATCTAAATAATTTCAAGTTTCATTGATTAAATGAAATAAGTAAGATACTAAAGCTCTGGAAGTAGTTTCTGGAAAAATAGGAAAAATTCAATAAGTGATATAGTTAAATAAATAGACTTCACAGTGTGTTTTAGACTATCCAAATTACAGGATAGAAATGTTAATATAGTAAGGAAAGGGAGAATAAGCAGAAATTGCCAATTTATTTCATTCATAGTGCTTATTTAGCAAACTTTGCTGAAGAGTTTGGTTAAGATATATAATAATTCAAATTACTAACGCTGGATGCCAGAAGTTCATGTGTATAACTCTTGCTACTCAGAAGGTTGGGATCAGGAATTGCAGTTCAAAGCCAGCCCAGGCAGAAAAAATCTATAAAATTTTAATCTCCAATTAGCCAGCAAAAAAAAAAAAAAAATGCAGAAGAAACTAAATAAAACAAAACAAAAAACAACAGCCAGAAGTAGAAATGTGGCTCAAGTGGTAGAATACCAGCCTTGAGCAAAAAAGCTAAAGGACTGTGTTCAGCCCCGTTTAAGCCCCAGTAACCACACACACACACACACACACACACACACACACACAGAGCTGAATTTGGTTGGTGCTTAATTTATTTGCTTACCAACCCCACTCAATACATACATAATACTTGATTCCTTTTGGGTGCTTTCTTCTTTATCAGTAACTGGAAACTGGTTTACAAGTAAATTAAAGTGCTATTTTCTGCATTTCAGTGGTTACTTGTGACTCTTCTCCTGTGTTACCTTTTCTCCCCCTCCTCCAGCTCCTTTTTGTCAGTACTGGGGCTTGCTCAGGTTATGCTAATTCATTTGAATTATCTTATGGTAGAAGAAATGTATACAGGTTAGGAGCATTCTTGCTTCTCTACACATACACATACTGTTAAAAACATGTTACTCCTGGCCTTCTCCTTTGGCTTTGGGTCACAGCTGGTGCTCTACCTCTTGAGCCACATCTCTACTTCCAAGTTTCTGCTGGTTGGTTGGAGATAAGAGCCTCATGGACTTTTCTGCCCAGCTGATTTCAAATCACTGTCCTCAGATCTCAGCCTCCTGAGGATCTAGGATTTCAGGCCTAAGCCACCAGCACCCTACACTGTTCCCACTTTGACACAGTCCTGACTGAGCTGCCTCCCGCTTTGTGGCGGGACTTATACACTATTGCTTTACTTGTACATTATTGCTTTACAGGATGGCATGTACATTATTACCTCACCAGAAGTGCTCTGGTTCCCTTTCAGGCTTGACATGAAGGTCTTTGATGTCTCATTCAGGATAGTATCAAAGAAAAAAAATGGAGCTTCAGTGACATATAAGTACAGTACAGTGGCCTGATTTTTTTTTTTTTTTTTTGCTAGATTAGATGAATGGTTGAACTGAAGAGTGGCAGTTTCTAAGACAGAATAGCAGAAAAAGGAAGGGAAGTAACACTAATGTCCTAGGAGAAGAGAAGAAAACACAGCATATTGTTTGTTAACATTTGTTATTCCATTTAACTTCTTAGGAAAATGCATTTTCAATTAAGTTTTTTATTGTGCAAATACTGTACAGAGAATTTTCTTAAAGTAAACTTTGTCAATTGAGAAAAAGATGCTGGGAAGGGAGGCTGAACGTTTCCTTTCATGAGCTATAGCTACTATTCTGGTATTTGTATAAACACAAATCATTGTTACAAAACCTTGAAACCTCCACTGATTTCCTGGAACCAAGTTGTAAAACCCCACAGTGGGAAGCAGGCCATTTCTGTTTGTATTTGGTTGTTATCCTGAACAGCATCTAGGGAGAAACTGTCCTACATGTTGTTGTAGGTGAGCGAAATTCTGACTTTGTCGACACAGTTGTTTGTGTCTGCTTCTCAGTGCAGGGTTTAGTACTGCACTCTGCAATCTCACAGTTGCCTTGTCAGAATATGAATGGATCATATCAAATATCTGCTCTACAGTGCAGCATGTCATGCTGGAATACCCCATGAATGCAAAATTGAAATACTCATGTTCCAGTACAGTGGATAATTTTCTAAAACCTGTGCTACTGACAAGAAGAAATGATCGTTCCTAAGAGAAAGCAGAGTTCCATTTTCTTAAAT